GGGATTAATTGATTACAACAAAAGCAATGCCCTCTAAATCTGGTTGCAACCAAATAGGACTGTTTCCCTGTCTTCAGTGCTATCTTAGGTGCCTTGCCTTATCAGTCCCTACAACAGTATAATTCTATATACTTAAACATTATTCATATTTTCATAAAATGGTCAACAGACGTAATTAATTCTATAATGGTACAGATGTTTCCCAGAGTGCTATATCATGATGCAGGTTCATTTAAAGATCAAATAGGGGCACAGCTTTGCAGGAATCTTTAACCTCTCTCTCTCTGAAGTTGTTTTACAGAACAGGCGAGGATTAGACCTCCTCTTCATGAGAGAGGAGGACCTTTGTGCTACATTGAGGGAAAATTGATGTTTTTATGCCGACCATAGTGGAGTTGTAAAAAAATCTATGAGTAAACTAAAAAGACGCCTGGAAGAGCATCAAAGAGAGAGAGAAAGAGACCCAAAAATGGTGGTATGAGTCTTGGTTCACACAGTCCCCCTGGTTAACTACCAGGAAGACCTGGGCTCAATCTCCAGCCCTGGAGGGAAAGAAAATTAGGTTGAATAATTCAAAGCTCAATATTCATATGTAATATACTTCAGAATGCAAGATATTTTAGTGTAATGATCATTAAAAAGTCTCATTTCACTGGGTACAGTGGGGCCAAGCCTGTAATTTCAGTGACTTAGAGGCTGAGATAGGAGGACCACAAGTTTGAGGCCAGCCTCAGCAATTTAATGAGGCCCTAAGCAAATTAATGAAACTCTGTCTCAAAATTAAAAAGCAAAAGGGCCAGGGATGAAGCTCAGTGGTAAAGTGCCCCTCGGTTCAATCTTCAGTAATAATAATAATAATAATAATAATAATAATAATAATAATAAAAGGCTCATTTCAGCTGGGTGTGCTGGCATGCATATATAATCCTGCAATCCCAGCTGCTCTGGAGAGGCTGAGTCTGGAGGATCAAAAGTTCAGGGCCAGCCTAGGCCACTTAGTGCGCCCTGTTCTCAGTTGTAGAGTGCCCCTGGGTTCAATCCCCAGTACCAGAATAAATAAGTAAATACATATATACTTATATACATACCTCACATGAGACATTGTTCTATGCCATATAAAATTGAAATAGCTCAATATGTAAGTAAAGGAGAAAAAAGAAAT